CATCGCATCGGTACTCCCAAAATTTAAATTGTGTAAAATTTAGTTCACATTAGTAGGAATTTCCTAAATAGCTCAATTCTACCAAAACAATGATCCTAACTCCAAATGTAAAGCTTCCAGCTCTATCGGTTCACCCAAAACCGAATTTGGTACATACAACTAATTTTTTTTCACAAGAAATTATACGATTGAACCTTCCACATGACACCACTTTTATTTTAATAAACCCATCGTCCGCGCCATCTATTAGTGTCTGTAAGACGTAAGACGTTGCCCATCATCATACAAGACCCTACATGAACGCCATCTATTGAAAGGAATATCGGTAACAGCAAAATATTTTGCTTCAGAAATGTCTTTCGTGGCCTGTAACTAGCTCTATTAACACAAATAAAAGGATAAATATTGGTCTTTGCCATAGAATCGGCAAATTGTATTTTGAAAGCTTTTGAAAGGCAATAACATACTAATTTATCCTCCTACATAATTTTTTAAATAAAATATTTCACATTTTCTAAATTTTGAATAGATCACGAAATAGTCAGACTTCCTACCTTTCATATCACATTAATTTTATTACAATACCTCCAGTAGTTCCAATGTTATGAGACCAAAACCAGGACATTAAATTGTACATTTATGAAATTTCCAGTTACGGCATCAATATATGGCGCTCCGTTCGCCATTTGAATTTCATAACGCATTTTGGTTATGAAATTCAATGATTTGAAATCGTTGATCGTTTGTATGACGATTCATCGTTAAAACAGTGTTGCCAAAATGATAATACATAGCTAAAAAAATCACCTTTATAGGTGTAATAAATATAAAATGTATCGTTGTGTAATAAAACTGCAGAATTCCCTCTAACCATTACAGCAAAATTCATAAAAATCGGTTAAGTATTTCCGGAGTTATTCGAATTTCAATTCGACCATGCTCCGAAATATACTTTCTGTTCGATGCTGGGCGTCTATTACCAAAAATGAAAAAAAAAAAACACCACAAAAATCGATCTTGCAAAAATGGAAAGAAATGTTTTCTTCATACAGCTACATTGTATGTATGTGTAAGCAAATATATTTTACATTGCATATGTGCATAAATCACATACAATCAGCTGCACTTACTGGATAACCTTTATATATAGACCTTGATTTTATGTATGTCGATTGGCATATTTTCAATAAATTATTTATTTTATTTATTGAAATTCATTCCTTAACACTAAAGCCTCCAAGGCCAATAAATAGTGTTAACAATATATCTTATATCATCTAATTAGAACTAAAAATTTAAAATAAAGTAATAATTAAAGTATTTATGTATACATACATTTGGCTCCCCAGCCATAACTAAAAAGAAAATAGAAAGTGATGACCATGTTAACAACAAAATATAAATTGAGCAAATCAAAAACATTCAAAGTGCAGAACATCTCATGCGATAATATATGAAAAGTATAGCATCAGATAAAACACATTTGATTATGAAAATAGGGTAAAAAAGCAAATAAAAATTGTAACATCTCACCGTCAACAAAAGTATCTCAAAAGTTTCAACCGAAATGCATTGTTGGATTGAGAAAATTGTCTCAATTCAACTGGTAAAAAGTTCCATAATCTTGCAACGCGTATTATAAATGACTTTTCAAATATGCTATTATAAATTCTGGGTATAAAAATCTGTGTATTCCTTGAGGACATACAAAATCTGAACATATTAGCCAATATAACAGGAATACCACTCTTAACTATTTTATAAAAAGTGCATAAAATCCTAGAGGAAATAAAAACATCAAAGTCAACTGCCAGGAAATTTTTAACATAACCCGAAATATGGTCTCTACTTCTAATACCATAAACATAACGGACAATAGAATTTACAATACGATTAACTCTCGATAAATTCCGATTAGTAGTGCCAGATGTAACCTCCAGACCATAATAAACATGAGGCATCAGTAGTGCATAAGCCAACCTCTTTTTAACATACCATGGTAGAAATAAATTCGTAGAGTACAATTTACAAATAACACCAAACATTTTTCTCTGAACAAAATCAATGTGGCTTTCAAATGTAAGTTTATCATCAATATAAATACCCAGCATTTTATGGGAGCTTACAAAATTAAACAAAATATATTTTTTAAAGCTGAACATTGCTCTCAATATGGTTGTTAAATCTTATATTTATAAGTTTTAGAGGCAGTGGACTTCAAAATATTTATATATATATAAATTATTTAGTAGAAGACATTTTCATTTAAATTTTGAAAGCTGAATACTGTCAAAGGCAAATTTATGAAAAAAAAAATTGGAAACATATGACTGCATGAGACGACTACCTTGTGTAATTATGCCATGAGTTGCACTGTAAATTTCAACATTAGTTCTGTTCTGCGGCGATTTCGAGTATAATTAAATTCTGTGTACAATATGACCATTGCTTATAGTCTCTGCAATATCCTCTTTCAGAGCACGAATGTCGCTACCTTATTTCAAATCTAAAGAGAATAAAAATGCATTTTTAAACTTTTACTTCAAAATATTTTCCACATCCTAAATTGTTATTTAACACTTACTTACAGGATAATAAGGTGACGAAAATCATTAACCACTTCTTATTTTCTTGCTGTATGGGAATAAAAAGAAGCCATTCCGTGTTTTGGCCGATCAAATATGCGGTTTTAGTTTGAGCCGATGTGCGCCATCGATCTTTCTTGGATCAATCTTCGTTTCTTTTCTACAAACGAAACTAATTCCTTCGCTCCACACATTCCCAACTCTATATAGTTAATTTGGATTAGTGTAGATTTGTGGGCGATATACAACAATGTCGCTGCATCTGAAAAATTGCCGGTAGAGAACGACAAATTTGTGAATAAAGGAAAAATTAAAAAATGGAAATATATATCAAATAAAGGGGCTAGAAAAACTAAATGAGCTAAAGATTGAACTATTTACTAGTATTTTATCCGTTGATTACAATAGATTCTATCCGGATGTAAGCGTTGCCAATAATTAAATACTTTTTGATTATAATCCCTCTGGTGGTAACAAAACAAAATTATAACGATTTGCCATATTCTCATAGATGACAATATGTATGCGTTGCCAATCGTTTTAACATTGCCAACAAGCAAATTTATGTTATAGGGTTTTTACTACTTTATGGTAGATGGCAGTATCGCATACAACAGCTGAAAGCTATAATTGCTAATTCACTAGAAATTTCATTAGAAAACCAAATTTGAAAAAATAAACAAGTGACGAATGCCAGTAAGTACGACCCATGGCACAATAAATAGGTAGTCCATTTAGCGCAGCTGATGTCTCGATTAACTGTCAAAGTGCGTAATTTCTACTAGAATTCGATGTGCAACGTTGCGAAACATGTGAAATATTATAAGGAAACATTTGACAGATGATCGAGACAAAAAGGATGGTTGTTGTTGTGATACATCACCTTATTATTGCATCATGGCGCGACCGGACCGGTCTGCGCTTAGGAAACTCGCCGAGGAAATGTCCGTGGTGTCAATCAGTATACGTGATTGACTGAGTTCGGAAAGTTGAGTCAGAATGTATCAAACTTATAAAGAGGCAATAACGTGACGTTAACATTGACGCGCTTGGAAATTTTTTTAAGCTCGGTTTGACGACGTAAGTGCAAGAATTTCCAACTATTTAGCCACCATCAACAACTTCTCCCGGGAGCGCAATCTAAAATTATCCACTGCAGAGTCCTCCTTCATTTCTTCTCGCATTCCAATTACATCAACCAGAAGGTGAAAGCTAGGAATAAAGTACTGAAAGCTTTGGCTGGCATCTCCTGGGGCAAGGATAATGAAACGTTGGTAACGACCATAAGGTCATAGGACGTTCCATACTGAATTATGCTGCTCCAGTCTGGACTTCTTTCCTTAGTGGCACACAATGGAGATCCTTGCAAACAACTCAAAATAATGCACACCGAATTGCAACCGGCTGTGTCCAGATGACGAGAATCGATCACATCCATGAGGAGACCAGGATGCTGTCAGTCAAGCAACATAATGTGTTGTTGGCTAGACAGTTCCTGCTGGCATGCTATCTGCAGTGTCATCCCAACCATCAGATAGTAATGGCAGATCCACCACTGCGACACATCCGCCAGGACTTCAGGCGCTATCGTGATGGCATCCATTTCATCGGACGTCAACAGTGAGAGGCTTCTTCCTAGGCAAACACGTTCAATTCTGGCACAACTAAGGTCCGGATACAGCAATGTTCTTAACTCGTATCGAGAGCGCATTGTCCCTGCCAGCAAAGCTCTCACGACACTCACCATTTATTCAATTGTATATGGCTAAAGCCAATAGAAGTGGCACAATTTCTCCGGCTACCCTCTTCATATGTGATTAATTTATATATTCTCCTTTTCCTTCGTCCGTTTTTCTTTCAATACTTTCAGGAAAGAACTTTCATCAACAGTCAACCTGTTACAACAATAACAGATGTGAATACTAGTTTAAATATATTTATTGTTCTGTTCCCGGAACTGCATGTTCTATTATTCATTATTATTAATTTTATCGTTTTTTCTTTTATACATTTAATTGCCTAAAAGTATGCTATAATTTATCAGGTAAGTTATATGTATCACATTAAATATATATTACGTTTACACGAAATAATACCTTTTAATTTAGTCGGCAACATCCCCCCAATGAAAATTCCCTTTAACTACAATTGGCAACACTATACCACATATACACAATTAAGGTGATAACAAATTACAGATGATTCCGTTTGTTTTGCTATTTACAAAGAAGGCTTGTCGCTTCGTTTCGGTCGGTGTAAAAACATTTTTATGAACATCGCAAAAACAAAAAAACTAAGAAAAGGCTACATACATATATTTTTGGGATAAAATATATCCCCCTCCTGTTTTACTTTAATATAAACACAGCCTAGTGGAGTTTACACCAGTAACGAAGAAAAATAAATACCATAGTTATGGGTCAGGCACAAAGTTTAGCCGATTCTCTACCGGATGTGGATAGCGTTCATATGCAAGTTGTACGGCATACAAAAGTTCTCTCGGAAATAAATTCCTTAACCTATGAAGAGTTCAAAACTTGTTTGGGTAATTTGAATGCACTGTAAGTTGAATTGGATGGTCGGTTTTGTAATTGCCGATACTACTATTGAATATTGATTTTTTCTTTATTTGTTTTTTTTTTTTAATTTTCTAATTAGATCCCGCAAATGCATTGACCCAAATGGCAAGCAACTAGTGTTTTTGGTTAAGAATGGTACAGACACATCACTACTGTGGAAAGCTACCGTTAAAATAGCCTGTGTAAAAGTCAATCCTGAAACGAGACAAATCGATTCATATAAATTTCTAAATCTCAAGCAATTTTTGTGTGTATTCAAAACGTTTCAAGCCCATTTGGAGAGTCTGGTGAGCAGTGAACAGCAAAGGGTAATAATTCATGTAGAATTCATATTCATTCAATCGATTGATTTTTTCTATTGATTTTGGTAGAGTAATATGGGATGTGGAGGCTAACAAAAACCGAATGTAGTAGGACAAAACTTTGAATCACAAGTGAAAAAGTGTTAAGTTCGGCCGGGCCGAACTTTGAATACCCTCCACTTGAAGTACTTGAAGTGAAAATATAAGGAACATACCAAAAAGTGGACCAATACCGACATTTCTACAAAGCGATTATGCAAACCTTAATGTACACCAAATACAAATTTCAGAAATTTTTAATGGATATTTATACCTTCAGCCTTATGGGTAATGAGGGTGTACACACTTTGATACGGTGAAAATGTGCCTCATCGAAATATTGGTTCTAGACCCAAAGTTTCTTTAGGCCAAATCCGTTTCAGAAAATTTGGATTTCATCCAAACTTTGCACATCTTATTATTTCATCCAAACTTAGTTCAAGTTCGAAGATGGGGAATATCGGTCCACTCCTCCTGGTACCTCGCACACAGGGGCTATGCCTAAATGCGGACTATAGTTCATTATCAAACCTTACGGCCTAGTTTTTTTCTCTATATCTTCCGCAGGTGAAATGATTACAACAGAGTCTTAGAACCAAATCCAAAACGCGGAACAAATCAGATAACGGCCGGTTCGAACTTTGGATATCCTCCACCATAGGCATACTGTAAGTTACTTAAAATGAAAATATAGGGAACATGCCAAAAAGTGTACCTATACCGACAGTTCTACAAACCGATTTATGTAAACAATTATGTGCACCAAATACAAATTTAAACGATTTTTAATCGTTATTTTTCATAAAATCTGAAAACCAAAAACGTGGACCGATATTGATTACGCATGGTAGAGTGAATCATGTGTATTAAATACTCAAACTACTGCAATGTTATATGAGGCTATGCCTAAAGGAGGACCAATATTGATTACATATCTAGGAATTAGCGAATATTTGGGGTTATACTATATGAGGCCCAATTTCGAACCCAATATTTTAGTTTTATATCTAAATACTTTCCTTCAGTAGGTATCATTTTATGGAGAGATGCCTAAATATTGGCCAATATATTTCATCAACGTCAGGTTCAAGTTTTTTTTTATCACGATATCCTTAGAAGATGGAGTGATACAACAGATGACTAAATCGTTTTAAAATGCCGTAGTTTGTAGGGTATAATCTGACAATTTCGAGTAACAAATATCACCCATACTATGGTAGCACACGCCTATATTAGGACAACCCCAACACACGGAACAAATCAGATAACTATTTTAAAATAAAAAGGGGGTTATATGGGGATTACCCCTAAAAGGGGGTGAATATTAATAATTTTTATTAAATACCTAAAATACCTAAAATACCGCGGGTACCCTTATATGGGGGCTATCCGCGGATACCCTTATATGGACCTATATTCATATATTCGCATACATCAATCTGGACATAATTCCATACTCTGTGTAAAATTTTGTCTCAATCGGAGCAATATTGGCAGTACGGTGCTCTATTTACATAAAATCGGACGAGACTGTATATGGGAACTATATGTAAGTCTGAACCGATTTCAACAAAACTTGGCAAATATCAATCTGGACTTAAGGGGACCTCCCCCATTCTAGAGGTCAAAATTTTTTTTGATTTAATTCGAATCTACATTAATTCAAGAATGTCTCTACAACATTTCAAGTGAAAATCTCAAGAACTCTTGAAGATATAGCCGATTTATTGTGTCAGCATCAAGTGACGGCTAAAGGGCTTCTCAAACTTTAAACGCGTTTTTCTCTTTGGCGAATGGCGGACACGATAACTCAAAAACGAATAACCCAATCGATTCCAAATTTTTACACGTTTCTCTGTGAGTGTATAGCTATCGTATGAACTAGGATAAAGCCAATCGGTGAAGATGTTCCTTATTTTTTAACTTGGCTTTTGGTCAAAAATCGGTGATTTTCCAAAAATATTTTTTCAAAGGTCCGCCATTTTGTTAATTTTAGAGCGAAGTCAATAATACTAGTTCAGCCCATTGAAAAAAAAACACAATTTTTTGTAAATTATTTTTCTTCTCTTTAAAATCTTCAAATATATATGTGCAAAGTTACAGACCTTAACAAGCATTGGTATTGATCTACCAGCCCATTGAAAATCTTGAAAAATTAAAATCGAGAATGGGGGGTCAGTACTCTGTGCAAAATTTTGTCTCAAAATGTTATCTCAATCGGACCAATATTGGGATTTTAGTGCTCCGTTTACATAAAATCGGACAAACTATATATTGAAGCTATATCTAAATCTGAACCGATTTCAACAAGACTTAACATACATCAATCTAGACTTAATTCAGAACTATATGCAAAATTTTATCCCAATCGGACCAATATTGGGAGTTTGGACGAACTATATATGGAAGCTATATTAAATCTGAGGCGATTCCGGCGAAACACAAATTTCGATACATAAATTTGAGCCTAATTCTGTACTATGTGCATAATTTTGTCTCAATCGGACCAATATTGAATGTATGGTGATCCATTTACATAAAATCGGACGAAACTATATATGGGAGCTATATCTAAATCTGAACAGATTTTCTCCAATTTCAATAGGGTTCGTCCTTGGGCCAAATAAGTGACATGTGCCAAATTTGATCCAAATCGGATCATAAATGCGAAATTTACTTTGTTCACAAACATACATGGACGGACATGCTTAAATCGACTCAGAAAGAGATTCTATGTATATTCTCAAAAGGAACCAAGGGTCTATCTCGATTCCTTTTGCCTGTTACAAAGACATAATACCCTGTATTATGTCTTTGGAACAGGCAAATATAAAAAATAAAAAAGTAAAAGCTAAGTTTCCCATGCCTATATTTGATATGAACTCCCAAATCATTATTGTCATGTTTTCCAATTTGACTACTGGGATAATGTTGTCTTTATAGAGCTTTTAAGGCTTGCGCTAGACTCTGGTGGGCTCATTGTTACAATATAACATTATTTTGGTTTCATCCCAAAATATCGTCCATTATTCACTTCGTGTAAAATGTTCTCTTGCCTATATTTGCTGTATATAGTAAGATTTTTCTGCGTGTGAATAAGATTTTATAATGTTGCAGTAGACTGCAGATAACTACAGTTTCTATATGCATTTCTCTTGTCCATTAATTTTTTTAGTATATTACTCCAAAAGTGCATCGACTGTATATTAAAATATTTTATTTTTTTATAATTAACAAAGGAACAACGACGCGACTCACAATCAACACCTGATGACGAAGAAGAGTCAATTAATAGCGGCAGCCAAAGACATCCATTACCATCACAATTTACCACCTCAATGTTTATGAATGCCATTGGCAATAGTTCAAACAGTAGCAGCGGTCTAAGTAGTCCATCGGTATCAACATGTGCTGCCCATAATGATCATATCGACGAATGCTCAATATGTTTGGATAGACAAACTGAAGTAATACTACCATGTACACATTCCTTTTGTACACCATGTATTGAACAATGGTAAAAAGATGTACACAGAAAAATATAACATTGCAATTTAAAAAATTAAATTTTAATTTCCTTTGCAGGAACGTTAACAATAAAACATGTCCAATTTGTTGTGAAAGTCTGGAAAGTACCGATGAAACATGGGTTATGTCTAACATTCCTGATGTTGAGGAAATTAATGAAGAAATTTGTGCAGAATTTATGAGTTTGGGCAAAGAGAAGTAACTGTTTGATGTGTTGGCAAATAAAAACGCATTATAGTATCATCCCTTAGTATGTTAAATATTGTTATAGATGAAAAGTAACTACATTTGTTATGAAAAAGAAAATGTATTTATTTTTTCTGCCAAAGCATGTTGTAGTATATAAAGTTTAAAATATATTTGTATGTGTGTTATAATATTTTACTTATTTGAAATCATCGTTTGTTTAATTATATAAGATATTATTAATTAACGTACATATGTGTATTTATACAATTGTTTAACATGATGATTTCATAAGTTAATTTATTGTCCTTGGAAACGATTACAATAAAAATCTCAATATCATTTAGCTTGTAATAAATTATATATACAATCAAATAGCGTATTTTATAACAAATCGGGACATTCTTCGGGAAAATTGTGATTGAATTGTCGAATTGTAAATCGAGCAGAAAACGAGGTGGTGGTCCGAAGACCACAATAAAAAAACGTAATGAGAGCATAATTATTAGAAAAATTATGCCAAACACTCAAATATCCACAAGGACGCTTGCGAGGGAGCACGAATAAGAGTGTAGTGTTAAAGTTTGTCAAGAAACAATGCGAGAGAATATATTTAAAAAATCCCCGACAGAGTATAATAAAAAAGTTGAAGCGATGTTAAGTTCGACCAGGACGAACTTCTTATAGCCTACACCATGAGGATGGCATTCAAAATATGTAAAATTAATGGAGGCTCCTAGGAGAACACTCATGTTATAATAGAACCTGGAATATACCAAAAAATACGTGAGAAAAAGATTAATACCCAATAGGGAGGCTAGCGTTTTATGGGGCTATACATAAACGTAGACGAATATTAATCATTTTGGGTAGTGAAATAATCTTTAGTAAAACGGTACTCTTGTTATATGGGGGCTACACTCAATCTTGGTTTAATAATAATACAAGAATGTGCTACACAAGGAGAACCCAAAAAAAAAAATTACGGTCAATTTGCTTGAAAACGTGTCTAAAACCGAATACTGGGGGTAGCGTTATATGAGGGCTAACCCTGAGTCAATATTAATAATCTTTGTTACGGTCATGTACAATGATACTATAGAAAACTAAATTACAGCCAACTCGGTTGAACGAACGTGTCCAAAATACCGAATATGGGAAGGTGTCGTTATATGGGGCCTACCCTGAAACTTGGGTCAATATTAATAATTTTTAGTACAGAGAATTGCAATGCAATGAGAACCCAAAATACCAAATTAATGCCAATTCGTTTGAAAACGAGTCAAAAATCCCCAAAATACCGAATATTGGGGGATGCCCTTGTATGGGGCTAAAACATAGACCGATTTATCCCATTTGTAATACCAAACATCCTAGGAGTACTAGCAATGTCTATGTAAAATTTCGAAGCTCTATGTTAAATATTGCGATCTCTATCGTGATTTCAACAGACGGACGGACAGGCAGGCAGACAGACATGCATAAATGGACATAGAATTTTATTCTGATCAAGAATATATACTTAATTGGGATTCAGGTGCATATTTCAAGATGTTGCAAAGGGAATTACGAATTTTATATAACTTATGGTGGAGGATATAAAAACAAATACTAATCAAGATCAGCACGCAAAAAAACCCTTACTACCAGAAGCGAATATAGACAAGAGGTTTTTATTCGCCAATATGAACGGTTCACACCCAACTAAATATCGTGACGTCGTTATCCCACCAAAGTTTGACACAAGCGTTTAAAAGCACTATATATGCAGAACATTATCCCAACAGTCAAATTTGGAAAAAATGTCATTAATTATTTGGGTGTACCTATCAAGCAAAGGTGTGGGAGACTAGCATTTATAGAAACAACGATGGACGCACAACAATATTCAGAATACAAAAAAACATGTGGGCTCTTAACTCTAAAGTTTAGTAAAAACGATCAAAATTTTCCGAAATTTCTTAAAGAGGTAGGTATTTTTACCCTAATTATGGGGATATATATTTTTTTTGGGTCGTACCCGGTTATTTGACCCGGAAGCTCGGGTAAAATATAAAATTGGTATATAAAAGATTATTGTTCTGTCCCAGTACTTTTTTAATAGTAAAGCTAGTAAAAAGGAAAATCGCTCTCAGAGTACAAAAAAAATTTGAAAAGTTCGGGAACGCAAGTCTGGTAAATATGCCAAAATTAGATTCTTTTAGGTTCTGGAACGGAACTTATAAAAATACCTTTCCATTGAGTGGTAATATGATGGGGTTATCTCAAACCGTTTCGGAGATGCAGTCAAAAAAAATCGAAAATCAGAAAACTATTCTATTTAAAAGGAGATTCTGTTGCGTAGCCGGTGTAGGTATCCGTATTAAATACCCGGCCGAAGGCCGCCTATCCAAAAAAACCATTCTATTTAACATGAGATTCTGTCGCGTAGCCGATGCATGTTCAATTATATTATTTTACTATAAACCATGCATGTTGCAATTATCACAAATAAAAAAATACGATTAATAGACATTTAAGTTTATTACTAACAAAATTTAAAAAATCTGTTACTTATTCAATTTGACACATTATTTTATTAACAAGTACAAAAACTTACCATAATTTGAAATTACTTATTAGTAGAGGAATTAACAATAATTATTACGATTTTAATATAAAAACACAAAATATTTATCTTTCGAATGCCGTGGAAGGCGCCAAAGAAAAAATCTTATATGAGTTATTATTCATGGTTGTAATTTTGCTAGCATGCAGAGTTGTATTTGAGAATACTTGGTAATCATACGAAATTGTACAATTTAATTAATTTATAACATATAACTATTTTTTAAAATTATATTCTACATTGTATAATAATTTTAAGATCCCCGAAGATGATTGTCGATGACAATCGAAATATCGGAAAATAGAATAATAACCATTTTTAATGACTTCTTATGCCATGTTCTGACGAGCATTCGAACAACGTAGTTCGCTCTCAGAATTACCTACATGAATTAACCCGTTCATACAACACTATTCTTAATTCATGTCATCAGATTGATTTAAACAATGATTAAGGTTTTAATCAACCGGTAACTAATTCTAAAATTCTCGACCAGTAGGCCTACAAACGGAGCAGATAACCGGAAAATGTAGTTTTCGCAGCTAACCGTTTTTTGATTCATAGGGAATAGCATTGTAAAACAAAAATGTGTGACATTAATAGCATTCGTGGAACAATGAACATCCCCTCTTATAGGAGGCTGATTCATTGAAATTCCCCAATGCTCCCCCACAGGAATGACGTGATAGCTAAAACCGAAAAAAATTGTTTTAAATTTATTATATGGTTTCAAACTTTTTTCTTTATTGTTTGTAAAGCAAATTGTGAAAAACATTTTGAATATTACATTTCGATTTCCAAAATGGGCTTTTAATTATAAAAATTCAAGAAAACTACATTCATAGAGGCGGATGGAAAGGAAACCTAGGCTCAGTTATAACCCCGTTCACCGATTTTATGTTATGTGTGGAAATCTGTCCGAACTCCCAGCTACTCATAAAATCGAGGAGATTATGTTAGCCTATATTGGAATCGGTCCCTTGGTGCTTGACATAATTCTCGGCGGAGGTTAAATACGCCTATGGAAAGATTTTATACGGTCAACACAATTTCCATGATTTAGTCTTTGGCCGGGGATTTATGTCCTTCAATTTTCTTTAAGATGGCCAGATTTGAAGCCACTCAATAGAAAAAATAGATTGTAATCCACAGTATAAACAACATCACAAGGAGCCATGAGCTACATGTGGGAAACTTAAAATAAATCGCGACCAGGTCCTAAACTTTATTTTTCACTGACCTAAAACCGTCAATATCCCAAGGATACACAAATTCATTAATTATTCCTCAAAGATTAGTTCTTGACAAAAATAAATTAATAATTGTTTTTGTTTATTTCTGTCAAAAACTTATTGTCAGCATGACAATTTAATTTCTATAACAATAATGTTGTTTTTGTAAAATTTTGTTGTTGTATCTTATGCATACACCTTATTAAATACACCTTGGGTTTTATATACATTTTTATTACAAATATACTTTTTTTGTCGTCTACTTTCATTTTCAAAATCTGATCGCCATAGATTTAAGACTTTATTCGTATTTCATCTAATATATTTCCATAATTTTTCATTAATTATAAATTTTGATATATCTTAGTTTGGAATTAAATTTGAATATTTTTAAATTATTAAAAAAATAACAATAATATTAAAAATATAACTTAAAATAATTGTTTTCTATTGTCTTTTTGTTTTAATTTGATTTTCAAATTCGTTTGGGTACGAAACCTGTACGACCTCGTTACGAAACAGGAGTAATAATGGTACATTGTACCCGAAAAATCAACTCTGATCACGTATGGCTGTACTTTTTACAGCGAGTTGACCCGATTTATGTGCTAACATCAACGAATAGCCATTAAACGACAGCAACGATTTTCTGTGTCGTCGAGAGCTGTTCTTGGTGTGTTTTTATTCAGCGTCATTTTCATTTTCGGTGTTGAAAGTTGATGAAATTTTTGTAATTTTTTATTAGAGAAAAAGAAACCAATTTTGCGGCTAAACAATTTAAACACCAAACGCAAAACAATAAACAAACGACACAGAAACGCGGACTGAAAAAATCTCGCCGAAATAAAAATGAAAAATTGTCGTTAAACAGCGTTTTACGGTTTCCGTCGGGTTTTCGACAAGTAAATGAAGAAAAAAAAGTAATACCACCACAAAATACTTTACCGACGATGAATATGATGATGGTACGGAAAAAAGCATAATCTTCTTCCTCCTTGACAACCTTTTTTCTGTTCATTCTTCCCTTTAGTGCTGCTGGTTCTGCATAGCGCAGCGACCGACCGAAAAAAAGTGTCAGAGTGGTTAATTAATATGTGTTGTTGAAAGTGAATAAAAAAAGAAGAAAAAGTGAACACAAAAAGTAAAGCATGCTATTCCAAAAAAAAAAAAAG